TCCGGTCGCGATATTAGAGATTTTTTTAAAGCTATTTAAGTAAAATTAATTTGTGATCGTACAAACAAACATAACAGTGTCATTGGTTGCCGTATACAAGCACAAATTCAATTTAAACATAATCAAAGATTTGGGTGTATTATAAATGGCGCCCAACGTAGTGTGAATTTTACCGCTCTAGGTTTTGAAATCCAATTACAAGGAAATAAATTAAATTCTCAAGTAGACACTTATGCTCTTCAATAAGGCACAAAGCACAATCAATCCTCCCTTTTAATAATTCCTTGATGCTCTCAATCTTTTTAATCGTTTGGATAATCTTGTAAGAGCCAAAGCACATGATGCGTTGCCGGAGCGGTGTCGCTGCGCGTCTTACATAGAAATATCTGTGGCGGGCATACGAGCCGTGCGGCGCGCACGCACACACTGAAAAAATTCGGCGCACCTCACCGCTAATCACAGCTAAATTTTGTCAGTGTGTGCGTGCGCGCCGCATACGTATTGGCGCGCTCACATACAAACCGCGCTCGGTGCGTTTCTATGAAGATGACCTACTCATTTGTATTTACTCTGGTCGTGTGCTTTGGCTCTAAGGCTGACGAGGAAAAAAGCTTCTTTACCCAACCTAATTGAATAAAATGTAAATTTTGAACCCAATGCGACGGGAAGAGTAATGCTTGAGGAGCTGGGTAGTGACGTACATTAATTTCCACGATAAATATTTACACCATTGTTTATTAACTTAAAAAACAGCCAAGTGTGAGTTATCCTTGCGAGCAAATCGCTCTGTACATTTCCGTCGTAACGCGTGGTTTTTAGGAGTACCTATAAACGTATGTTATTATTAGTTTAGTCTAAGAAAAAAGATTATTTCTGTAAATAGAAAGTAAAATTAACGACTTTCGCTTTGTTTCTGTGCCCATTTTATGCAACTTTATATTTACATAGATGTCTTGAAAATTAATTAAATTGGTTCTATAATCGCCAAACTGTCTTTTCAAAATTAGTGTTGAATCCTAAAAGATAATCATTTTAGGTATAAATTTAATTTTTGTCACATAAAACACTGTTAAATAATATTTTCACTATTGATTTGGTCCTCCAAATACCATTAGTCTAAAATGGATGCCGAACCACGACCTCTGCAGTAAAATTTTATATTTATTTAGGTAAGTAATTCAATGTCACGTATCTATGAGTAAACACATACATAGAGTGTCCCTACAAATCCTTCCTGTATTTAATTTTGGATCAGCTCTACCTATTTTTGCATTCGGTCTGCCGTTTCCGGTGGTCTTTAGTTTAATCCCAGACACGGAGGGCAAAATTAATATTCTATTGATAGTTAATTTGAAATGCCCACTTTGTTTTGTGAACACACACAGGCATCTCAAACTCTGGGAGGGGGAAAATAAAATTTTTCCGGGTTAGGAAAAATCTTCCTCAAGTTCTTCTGAACAGTTTCGTTGCGGGTCCAACGACAGTTTAACTTTCCCCGGAACAAACTGACCTTCACTGGTTGGGTTTTTATTGGCGGTCAAGCTGTAGACTATCCTAGTTACACAGAGGTTTCAGCCACGTTTCAGCAGTGAGAACGAGAGGTGGATATAGTCTCGCTATTTATTAATGACAAGAGATTTCTTGTAATTTAACCAATTGAGTCCCAGACGGCATTAATTAATGTCATAACAATTGATTATCTATTGTGTCTAGATTCGCGGACCTTGAAGGATTAAGTAAGTAAAAAATTAAAGGGCAATATTTTGGTTGTATTTTAGGCTACAAGTTAATCTAGCACTACTCCGATGGCTCAACGACCCAAAGTGTGTCTTCATGCCCTCTGATAAAAGTGATGTCACCATTTTCCTCCGTCTTGTGTGGTTTCACTCCAATCTCCTACTTAAAACTCACATCCTACATTAATATACTAGCGGATCCCGTTTTACCACCTTAGGGGTGGAGTTTCGTAAAATCCGTTCTTAGCGGATGTCTACACTCTATAAAGAATCTACCTGCCAAATTTCAAGTTTGTAGGTGATAGTTTCTGAGATTTTGTGATTAATCAGTGTACGTCGATAGTTTATCGACATCTAGCATCTCTACAAATAATCCGCTTTTCATTACAATGAACAATGCAATTAGTGGCGACTCTAGGTAGCTATTAAGGACGCTGGACCCCGCAATACTACTTAATAAGGTTCTTTTAATTAATTCATTATTGACAGACGCTGTTGCGGAGCGGAGAGTGAAAAATTATCAAGGTAATAAACCTAATTTCTGAAATGTAAAAAGATCGGACTGAACTGTTTTTTGTTTTTAAAGAGAAAACACTTCGTGAAAGATGCCATTTTGGAATTTTGAATTGGTAGAGAAACTTTTACAAAGCTAAATAAAGATGCCACGAGACTAACGCCCGTATTCACAAACGATGCTTGCTTATATGAAGCAGCAAATCGAACGCACAGCGTTGAATAGAGCTCTGTGATTGGTTCGTGTGTCCCCCTGTGCGTTCACGCGCAATGTGAAACCTCATAGTAGTATTTGTGACTACGGGCGTTAGTACTCAAACATTTTTATTCACAAATTCGCTAGGTACCTACTAATAACGATTACATGTATGTAGTATGACCTACTCCGAGTAGGTCTAAGTATTACAACTTACATACGAGTAGGCTACTCGTATGTAAGTTGTAATACTTAGGTGTTTGTACCTATACCTTAGTCTCTTTTTAAGCAGATCTACAACTCGTAACATCAAAGTAAACATACGAGTACCTACAGACAGATGAGACCCATTTGAACTGTCATAGCCAAAGCTTCGCACGTACTTGGCTGACCGCGTCGATACAGCCTTCGTGCCTCCATGACCATCAGGGCGATTACGACTAGACGGCAAAGAGTAGGCAGGTGCAGAAGGTGGGAATGACACAGAAATGGTAAAGGTAAGACTGTCAGGTTTTAGGGTTAGTCTTCCCTTTCGAAGTTTGAATAGTTACTAACCTAATCATGTAGAGTTGTACAATGTACTACATAATAAAAAAGTGAAAATCAAAGGAGTTGAGGAGTAAGCATGGCAGGGCTACTACTATTATGAAACATGTTGTGCCCTGTTTCCTCCTTACACTCATCATTCCGTCGTTTTCAAAGATAACAAACAACACTGGTTTCAATCTTAAACCGATATACTTAGTACTAAATTAAGTATGTAACTATAGAGAATTGCTCCAACCATGCAATGTCCTTTCCTTGCCGATCAAGCCAATGGTGGTTCTTAAAATTTGACACCAGAGTTGTAGTTCTTAAAACAAAGAAGAGAGTGAGAGTGTTCCTCCAATGTGGGCATTTTCTTGCCGTGAACATTTTCATTCATAAATTCATTTGACTTAACCCCTCCGGCAGGGCCACTTCCCATTTCTGCCTAAAGTTCAAACCTCACGCTGGCGTCACCATAACACTTTAATGGCAGCCGCGCCATTAACCAACTAGTGCGATTAATCCCCGAATTCAGGCTTAAAGCACAAACTAGAATCCTGTGGGTAGTTGTAGATAAGGCAAACTTTTCCATAAATTGGTACACAAACAAGTATAGTCTCTTGATTGCTGTCAGTATGATTCATATCAGCTGACCTTAATTTAGATTGCTTTCCTAGATAAATAAAATAAAAACAATAAGTTTCACAACTTCAACTAAAACGTAAGTCTTAGGTACGACGATAACGACGAATATATGAAACTACAATGGATTTATTTAGTTAGCAGGCAAGTACTACGCCTGTATTCACAAACATTACTATGAGGTCTCACAGTGCTCGTGGACGCACAGGATGACACACGAACCAATCACAGAGCTCTATTCAACGCTGTGCGTTCGATTGGCTGCTTCACCTTCGCCCGATGCTTGCTTTGAAACTGGCAGCAAATTAGAAAACTAATGGAAAAACGAAAAAAGGACTAATGGGAATAGAATTCGTAATAAGATGAAAGAAGGACCTATTTGGTAGCTAAGGTACCTACTTCATCAGATGTTTTAGCAATGCAGTCTCTATTACAAATTGAAGAGGGCTACATCGAGGTGTCCGATTTCAGCTTCGCGCCAAAATGGAGTCTGCCAGGTGACAGATGTTGGTGGATGTTTCTTCCCACGGTTATTTTATTTTCTGCTGGGACTATTCTGCAGACTGACTTTTATACTGATTCAATTGGATAAGTAGTTGCTAGGTGAAAATATAAAGTTATGGAAAAATATTGACTTTGGTCTCCAGCCAGTAGGACACAGTAGATAGACGTAGGCAAAATGGTGCCTACAAAATTTTAATAGCAGTCTAAAGTCTTCATGATTGTAACTTTTCGGTCCAAAAATTACTCTGCCTAATACTTACCTAAGTAGTTCTTAGAAAAAAAACGTCTACGCCACCACGGTTGTTTGAAAAAAATTAAAATAAATCCTTTAAATTCCAGAATTACATAAATCACAATTCTCGAAGCTGTAAGCAACATTTCAAACGTAAGAGAATCCATCTGCTTCACACACGACCCTCTAACAATAAAAGATAAGTACACACTTATGTCCTCAAAAACAAAGGCTTTCGCTAAGAGCGGGTGTAACCAACCGTTTGCGTGGAACGTCTCGGTGGATACTTAATCCGTCAACATAACGTAAGTAATAGGTAGGTACTGTAATGGCTCGACGGGGGTTGACTCCCGCTGGCAATCTCCTTTACTCATGGTACCTCCTGGAAAACCTACCTCTAGTTTTGGAAAATATTGTAAGCTGTTATAGTTTTATGGAACAAGGACTTTTACAAAGTTAAATTGCACGTTAAGTTCGCATCTAAAACAATGAAATACTAAAAATAATTTATTCTGAACTTTTGCTGTAAGTACCCTAACTCAAGATTATACCTTTATTACTACTTACAAGAAATATTATCTTTAAGACTGTTTTATTATGATTTATTTGGCAGCAAATATTACAAGACTGAAATGAAACAAAAAAAATCCATGTAATCAATTTATTCAACGAGCCGGGGGCGCATCATAATGTATGTGGAACACTCTGTACGCGCAATACTCCATGAGCGCCAATCCCAGCGGGTACATGACCTTTGGCCCCATCTGCGGGGCGAGGATATACGCGAATACTGCTGCCCCAGCCGTGTACCAGCCCCACTCTCTGTTATTCTGCATGGAATAGTGGCAGAGAGATATTATATTGCAGGCAATGACCAGATTCCCCAGCTGAACATTGTCCTCACCAGACAACGCCAGGGCAAAGGGCACAATCCCAGACAGCAAGTGGATTGTACTCAAAGCGTTGTTCCCTCGGTATAGGTCAGCCATGAGGCATGGTAGAGCGAGATATCTCGAAGCTTTGTAGCTGACCGCGTAGGCTGGCTTGAAATCGTTGTTGAAGACCCCGCCTGCGAAAATAAAATAGCAATTTTACAGATGTGAGATTTGCAGAGATAATTACGTAAGGCGCTATAAAAAAGCAGCAAGAAAACATTTCCGTTAACATTTAAAAGTCCGGTATTTCTGTTGTGGGAAGGTTATGGACTTTTTAGATTATTTTTCTCTCAGTCTGTATACCAATGCTGCAGCAAAATACGTCAAATATTCAAGTGAAACAATGACCTAAGTGCTAACAATGTCAACTAACTTTGATAGTGAAGGAATCCGAGAACCCCATGTATGAAGAAGTTGGCGTGCATGCCCGGGTGTGTAAAACTCTTCCCTGACATGCGGCTAATCCCCCTCCCGGCAACGCAGCACAGCACAATATGTGCGAGAGATGTGTTAAGACTGTCATCCTCTGCACCCATAACACTTCGCCCCGAGTTTTATAACGCCCTCCAAACTACGTGGAATGGCATAAAAAAATAAGATTTTCCAAAAAATTGCACAGCAAAAATATTTCAAATCATTGATTGACACCGATTGATTGTCAATTTTATTGTTTTCAAAATTAGTCAATGATCGCACAAGCAGTTTCTATTTAAATAATTACTCCCTTACTAATAAAACTTACACGCTCGTTGAACAGTGTTTTAAAGTGACGTTTAGTATGGAAATGTCATTTTAAAACAGTGTTCAACAACTGTGTAACTTTTTATTAGTAATGGGGTTAATAACGACCACAGTTTGGTCATAACCACACTAGTTTTACTGGACTATACTCACATCGCGTAATTTTGCTGAGAAAAAGGCAACTCTGACAAGCTAGAGTGTAGAACTAATTGATATAAATTTAAACATCGTCATACATTTCTTAATCACCATTTTATACAGTTTCTTTCATTGTTTTTGTTATAAAAGTTGTCCAAATCTGTGATTAGACAAGTTGCTAATGTGATTAGTTTTCGGCGAATTCAAAAAACGCGCTATTTTCTTTGTCAGGTATTTTTGTGATATGTCGTGTTAATAACCGTTGCATTACATTGTCGATTGTTCGATTATTGATTGTCTTGCCTAGACCATAGACAATAACGCATTATTTGACAAGCAGCTGCCATATTGCTTGCTGTTCGGGATTTTGTGGAATACGTTTTACAACAAATCTAAAAAAACTGAAACCGAATTCCTTCCAGGGAAAATTGTGTCGTACTTAACATTCGAAATAAATAAGTATCACTTTTAAAACATACAAAATGGCTGCGAGCGACTCTGGGACGGATGAGTCACTTTATCCTATTGCTGTGCTGATAGACGAGTTGAAAAATGAGGATGTACAGCTCAGATTGAATTCTATCAAGAAGCTGTCGACAATTGCGTTGGCTTTGGGCGTGGACAGGACCCGATCGGAGCTGATTCCGTTCCTGACCGAGACCATTTACGATGAGGATGAAGTCCTGCTTGCTCTCGCTGAGCAACTTGGTAAGTTAATATTTTTGTGTCTTTACATCGTTTTACGTCTTACAAGAACGCATTAGGACCATAAATGTACTTTACGCATCGTTTATAACAAGTATTCAATGAGTTTTGCATTGTATTCTTTCGGTATAACCCTATCTTTCACATAATGAGACAAGTACCTCCTATATTTCCTTGTTACAAAAACCGCACAGTTTTGGCATGTAATTTGTTTTTATTACGCACATATTTTGAAGAGGATATAAATACAATGTTTATGAAAATAGCCTTATGTAAGGACATAGTCAATGTCAAACGAATTGCAACATACTGCGGGCTATACATTATTACATTTGCACTATCTATTATTATTTAGTTAACACACTTGACCGTGTTATGGCTTCCTATCTTGAGACTGTATCAAGTAAATTAGATTATTGTTTACCATTTTAGACTACTAGCTTCATAAAATTCTATTTTTCCGCTTAAACTTGTATTGTAACAAATTCTCAGCTCAAATTTCATAAATATGAAATACAAATTAAATGTAACGTAATCCTTTTCTTCAAAAACCAGGTAACTTCATCCACCTCGTTGGTGGTGGTGAGTTTGCTCACTGCCTGTTACCGCCCCTGGAATCGCTTGCCACCGTTGAGGAGACAGTCGTCCGGGATAAAGCCGTGGCCTCACTCCGTGCTGTCGCTGCGCACCACACACCGCAGGCTCTCGAGCAGCACTTCGTTCCTTTAGTGCAGCGTCTGGCCGGTGGTGACTGGTTCACATCCCGGGCTTCTGCTTGTGGATTGTTCAGGTAACTGTTATTCATGTATTGTTTCAACACTATGGTGTAGTTAAAATAAAAGATAGAAACAACTTTCTTGAGTTAGCTTTAGAAACTGATTTTTTTTAATATAGTATGACAAAATAGACTCAATTAGAGGCTGAAGAGGTCTTAGTTACTTTAAAATTGCTTCACTTATCAAGTCAAGATGTGTTTACTCAAATCACTAGATACCTGCACACTTACTGAAGTGTGACTGGTTAACACTGGTTATTTTATGGGTTCTATTGATATGGACTATTCCTTTATTTAGGTAACTTTAAATGTTGCAAATGAATATACAGTACAGATTGATCCAAAGCACTCAAATTTGTTAATCATAATCTAATTACAAAGAACTGTAGGGTACTGGCAAAAATGTCAGTGTCTTGGACAATTTCAGTTAACTTGTTTAAAGAGAAAGTACCCTTGGATACTAGACAATATTAGGGATTAAATAATTTCATCTTAATGACGTAATTTGCTACACTTTTGTAACAAAAACATTCTTCTAAATCTGACAAGATTGTACTAACATAACCGCTTTATAAGCTTGAACATCATTCTTTTGTCTCCAGCGTATGCTACACTCCTGTCTCAGCACCAGTCAAAGCAGAAATCCATCAGCATTTCAACTCGTTGTGTAGTTTAACAGAGAAAGTGTCCTTGGACATCATAATAATAATATACGCTTGAACATCAATCTTTTCTCTTAAATAGAAAGACACGGGTCTTAACGCGACATTTATTAATGAATTACATTAATAATCACGGCTTGACGTTTCGGCTGCTACGCTTCAGCCGTGATCACAAGCAGACTGGCGGCTCGGGTTTATTCCAATATGATCACCCTAATGATCAAAGTGGACATGAGAGAAAGAGTCACATGGGTCAGCAAAGAAAACAGTGTCGCCTGAAGTCCAATTTGATCACCTGGGTGATCAAATCCATCCATCAAATTTGATCATAAAGTGGAATAAACCGCGGATCACGGCGTCGGCCGTTCGGGCATCTTTCTATTTAAATCGAAATAGAACGCGAAAGTTTAAAATCTTATATCATTCTTTTGTCTCCAGCGTATGCTACACTCGCGTCTCAGCACCAGTCAAAGCGGAACTCCGTCAGCACTTCCACTCGCTGTGCCAAGATGACACGCCGATGGTGCGGCGCGCGGCCGCGTACAAACTCGGCGAGTTCGCGCGAGTCGTCGAGGTCGAATACGTCAAGAGCGACCTTATTCCCATGTTCGTGCGTCTAGCTAAGGTCAGTGGGTGTTCTTATTCGTTCGTTTCAGACAAAAGACGTCCACTGCTGGACAAAGGCCTCCCCCAAGGATTTCCATAAAGGCCAGTCCTGCGCCGCTCGCATCCAGGCACCTCCACCTTCGCCAGATAGTCGGTCCATCTGTTTTTATTACCTTGTCAATTAGTGGTAGATAACTAGGTTTGGTAATAATATCGGGTGTTAATTCTGTCAACACTAAGTGCGAAAAAAGGAACATACCAAGAGTTACTGGTCTCAATCGATAGGAAATATACGGAGTCAGCAAATATTAATTATAGTTATAAAGGAATGAGGAGGACAAAATTCTGTGAGTGACCAGTTTCCAGTTACCCAACCCCTCCCTCGTAAAAGACCAGTAAGGCAACATAGGCGTGTCACTATGACTCGCTGTGGCAAGATGACAAGCCCATGGTGGATCGCGTGGCCCCTTCAGACTGCATTCCGAGTATACTGTGGCGATTCTCTGCCTCCATGTATGTATCCTTTGCAGCATAGAGAGGGTAGACCGAATCTTCCATTTATCTCTGGTAATTTAGAGAGGGTGTTCAATGCGTGCTTCAGTAATAACAGAGTAAATACAAATGAGTAGGTCATCTTCATAGTAACGCACGGGCGCGGTTTGTATGTGAGCGCGCCAACACGTATGCGGCGCGCACGCACACACTAACAAAATTTAGCGGGGAGCCAGTCGTGGTTGCGCCGTGCGTTTCTATGAAGATGACCTATTCATTTGTATTTCGTTCGTTTCAGCCAAATGACGTCCACTGCTGGACAAAGGCCTCCCCCAAGGTTTTCCACAATGAACGGTCCTGCGCTGCCCGCATCCAGGCTCTTCCCGCGACCTTTACCAGATCGTCGGTCCACCTAGTAGGAGGCCTGCCCACGCTACGTCTTCCAGCCCGTGGTCGCCACTCGAGAACTTTCCTGCCCCAACGGCCATCGTCTCTACGAGCTATGTGCCCCGCCCACTGCCACTTGATTTTAGCAATTCTGCGAGCTATGTCGGTTACTTTGGTTCTCCTGCGGATCTCCTCATTTCTGATTCGATCACGCAGGGAGACTCCGAGCATAGCCCGCTCCATCGCCCTTTGGGTGACCTTGAGCCTTCTTATGAGGCCCATAGTAAGCGACCACGTCTCAGATCCGTATACCATCACTGGCAACACGCATTGGTCAAATACTTTCGACTTGAGACACTACATTTGTATTTACTCTGGTAATAACCTATTGCAGCAAATAATGTATTGCGGCAAATAATAATGATGGTGCATTTTGCAGGACGAGCAAGACTCAGTCCGCCTGCTAGCAGCAGAAGCCAGCGCGGCCGTGGCAGCGCTCCTGCCGCCTGAAGACATGGAGCAGCTGGTCATGCCGACCGTGCGCAGCCTGGCCGGAGACACCTCCTGGCGCGTGCGGTACATGGTAGCGGACAAGTGAGTGTCCACACTGCACTACAGTAGCTCGGGCCGCCTGCTGGCAGCGGAGTGTCTACACTACAGTAGCGCGAGCGCGGCGGTGAAATAAAATCAATGTAAAAAAACTAGTTGAAAAATATCATTTACAGGATTGTCCTTGGCTGGCCCCTTTTTTCCATTGCCCTAATATTAAGGGGAACCTGTACAAAAGAAAACCTGTTTTTCCTGTGAAACTAACACAATCTGTACATAATTGCTATAAACTTCTATCATTTTTTTAAAGGCCCCTGACACTTAATGACCCGGGTCGATAGAAGACGGCCATGGCACTTTAATACCTACCTTAAATAGGGAAACCGTAGGGTTAAGCTGTCGTAGGGACAACTTTTTTCTGAAACATATGAGACTTGAGCTGTCATGTAATAAAATTTTCGTATTAGCATGTACTATCATATAAGGTTGGTATTAAAGTGCTACAGTTCTGGGGACGGTGTTGTGTCCCATTGTTCTTTTTATACTTCTTATCAGTGCCAGTGCAACTAGGTAGGTATTAAAAGAGTTAAAGATAACACTGACAATACATATATCTAACTCTCTTTTCCATCAGGTTCGTCGAGCTGCAACAAGCCGTGGGCCCTGAACTGGCCCGCGCAGAATTAGCGCAAATCTTCCAAGCGCTCCTCAAGGACACAGAAGCAGAGGTGCGCGCCGCCGCCGCTGGAAAGGTAAACAATAATAAACTACTCCACGAAATCCTGCGAGCTATGTCGGTTACTTTGGTTCTCCTGCGGATCTCCTCATTTCTGATTCGATCACGCAGGGAAACTCCGAGCATAGCCCGCTCCATCGCCCTTTGGGTGACCTTGAGCCTTCTTATGAGGCCCATAGTAAGCGACCACGTCTCAGATCCGTATACCATCACTGGCAACACGCATTGTTGCACACAAAGTAACCGACATAGCTCGCAGGATTGCTAAAATCAAGTGGCAGTGGGCGGGGCACATAGCTCGTAGAGACGATGGCCGTTGGGGCAGGAAAGTTCTCGAGTGGCGACCACGGGCTGGAAGACGTAGCGTGGGCAGGCCTCCTACTAGGTGGACCGACGATCTGGTAAAGGTCGCGGGAAGAGCCTGGATGCGGGCAGCGCAGGACCGTTCATTGTGGAAAACCTTGGGGGAGGCCTTTGTCCAGCAGTGGACGTCATTTGGCTGAAACGAACGAACGAACGAACCACGAAATCTAAATTTCAGCCGAATGACATCCACTGCTCAGAAAAACTTCCCCCAAAGTTTTCCCGCGACCTTCACCAGATCGGCCCGAGGTTGCCACTCGAGAACTTTTCTGCCCCAGACCCAGTGGCCGTCAGTTTCACAAGCTATGTACTATGTGTCATTTAGCTGAAACGAAATCTAAATGCTCGGTTTTGTCGGGCTTGTTCTAATTGTAAGTCCGTCAGGCTAGCTACCAACATCTTACCTTAGTCTGTCGCCATATCAACAGTGGCAGTAATGGCATTGTGGTGTGGTGTTCAGCTGCTTTTAAAATAGTCACCTCCTCAGTTTGAGAATTCCAGATGAAGTTCGCTTCCACTTCGGCCTGATCACCACTTGCCATCAGGTGAGATGCAGGTCGAGAGCTTCCTTGTTATGATAAAACAAACCGATAAGAATGTCTATATTCTTATAAATAAATTATCTTTTTTCATTCCCAGGTCAAGGACTTCTGCATGAACTTAGACAAGGCTCACCAGGAGCATATCATCATGAGCATGATCCTGCCGCAGATCAAAGACCTGGTGTGTGACCCCAACCAGCACGTCAAGTCCGCTCTCGCTTCCGTCATCATGGGACTCAGTCCCATCGTCGGCCGCCAGAACACCGTAGACCACCTCCTGCCTCTATTCCTTACACAGCTGAAAGACGAGTGCCCTGAAGTCCGTCTGAACATCATTTCGAACCTGGAATGCGTCAATGAGGTCATCGGAATCCAACAACTCGTCCAATCTCTTCTACCGGCTATCGTGGAATTGGCCGAAGACACAAAATGGCGCGTGCGACTTGCCATCATCGAACACATGCCGCTTCTAGCCGGTCAACTCGGCCAGGAGTTCTTCGATGAGAAACTGACTGGACTATGCATGTCCTGGCTCATTGATCATGTTTACGCTATCCGTGAAGCGGCTACTCTTAATCTGAAGAAGTTAGTCGAGCAGTACGGGTCTCAGTGGGCAGAAACAAACGTCATCCCCAAAGTCCTTGCCATGTCGCGCGAACAGAACTACTTGCACCGAATGACCTATCTCTTCTGCATCAATGTTCTCTCTGAAGTATGCGGCAAAGATGTCACCACCCGAGTCTTGCTGCCAACTGTCTTGTCTATGGCCGACGATAATGTTGCCAACGTCAGATTCAACGTCGCCAAGACCCTCCAAAAGATGGCGCCTTTCTTGGATCCTGCTGTTATCCAACCCCAAGTGAAACCGGTTCTGGAGAAACTGAACGTAGACCCTGATGTAGACGTCAAATACTTTGCATCGGAAGCGATCGCCGGAATCGCCGGCTAAATTAAATTGAATACTTAATAAAGCTGTATACACAAACCGAACAGACTCGCCGTTTGATTTGTGTATGTAGCCTAATAATCACCGTAATTTGCCCAGCCTTGCGTCGTAACTCACTTCGCGAATGAACTAGCTCGATAGTTCACTCGCGAATGACGAACTAATGTTCGCGGCTACCTAGTTCACTCAGTCTTGTCTAAACTGGTTATACGCCAATCTTTCACTATTTATTTATTAGTAATGAGAATAATTAGTGTATTTACCAGTTTATGGCACTTATAAAAGTCTACTTAGTTTTATACCCATCGATTTTGACCAGATAAGATTTTATAGCACTAAAACTAATTAATAAATAAATAAACTCAATACGTACGTAACTGTAACTGCATTTAATCGATGTATTTTAGTTTTAGTTCTCTAAATATCCTCTGATCAAAATATATGAGTCGGGCTTTCCCCTTATGTTGCATTCAGCCAAAAGAAAATGAGGAAAAACATAACCCTCTGGCGCAGTCGGGTCAAAACAGGTCAAATGATTCTGATATAACATCGACTCAATCCATCTCTTTCACTTTTACTAGTATTCAAATGCGAGTGAGGGATATGAATATAGTCGAGTAAATCCGAATCGTTTTTCAAAAATAAGCATTTTATTCTTAAATCACATGATTGTCACATGGTCCACGCAGTTCTTGGGACCTTAGCGTAAAATATAGTTTTAACTTTGTGAAATATTGGCGGCCATTTTTGTTGTACTGTTTTCAAAACTAAGATCTTTTTGCCAGGAAAAAAGGACGAATGTCAAAATTTTAAAGTAAAAATCTTAAGTTAGGCTGGGTTAAACCATCTTACTTTAACTTCAACAAACGTCAAAAAAAATCTGTCAAACCATACAAAAATCACCGGTTACCGTTATTGTTACTGTTAAAGTTAGGTGGTGGAACTTAGCCAAGTATTTGATCTTATTTTTAAAAAGTGGGTGCAAATGATACCTTCTAAATATGCTGTCCCTTTTCTTAGAGATGAGATTCTTATTTTTGAAGACGGTACAGCAGAATTAGCACAATAAAAAGCATTTTTTATTAAGACGGAGATCATTATTTACAATGCACAGTGGTAGATTTCTTCGCAGATCTCTGTCAAGTGAATGTTACTAGTATTAAGGCCAGTTTTGTTATTTTCAAATAAAATGCGTTTATTTGAAAATTATAAAATCTTAAATCGTATAATTCCACGAATGAAATAATTAGATTACGTTAATTTTGTTACTAACCCACAAAATAGATTCTCGTAGCCTCAGTTTGTATGGAAGACTTTAAATCTAAATGTATAAGTTATATAATCCAATTGTTTGTTTTATTTTAGTGTAATTTTTCCGACTATTCCATTCAATCTTATAAAATCCAGTCTAAAAAATTCAGGTCTAATTGGGTATTTAAAAAGACATCATTCTGGTCTTTAAAAACTTAATTCATTTTAAATTACCTGTAAATTAAGATTTTTGGTTGCATTGTAATTGAAAAAAGTAGTTTGAGTTGACAAAATAGTGATGTCACAGGCTTTGCCATACAAAATCTATGGAAGTCTCGTTTTGACCGTTTTAAATTGGTGGTGTCAATTGGCAAACCCTATTGCACAGTAGGTATTATGAATAGTGAACGGATTTCGTATTTTTGTGGTGTTATAAAAATAAAAATATTGTAGGGTACGCTAGCAAATGCATAGTTCAATCCTTTCATCTCCCATCCTTTTCTAACATGTGCACCTTTGCTATAGCCGTCTTCGTCTACCTCCGCGGTCTACGAAAGTTGCAACCCATACGGCGGATATCATTCTCTTTCAATTTTGCGCCTACGCTGAGACAGACTCATCCTTATTATTTTGTGCCTAACCTATTTTATCGATTTTGTGCAAGGCAGCTGTGGAACATTGATTGTCAAGTGCTCGGATAAACTAATTTGTAACTGACAAGAACTAAGTGCCCGACGGAGATAATTATTGTTGGTAAGTGCACGTTTTCTTTCCAAATTTCATGTCGACATCTTAATTTTCTTCGTCCTAATTCGGATTGCAAGCTCTCACAACTTTATATTCTCATCTGCTCCCTTTCAATTTTGCCACCCTGGTGGTCAATGGCAACTATTTCGTTTCTGACAACTGCCCTCTTCGTAGATATAAGAACGTCTGCGTTATGTGCGTGTGGAGTTTGTTCAATTTTTTTGAAAATGTGTATTTAGTGAAGTTCGCAAAGATCTTTCAAGGCAAAGCTTACAATAAATGTAGCAGAAATAAAACAAGCCTTAACTTTCTATACTTTATTTCCATCGAAAACAACAGATTCCTAATTCATTTTAGTTAGAATTAGAAGTCTAGCTTTGGAGCGAACGTGGGTAACAGTAATTTTGGAATGTAACGGGCGTTACTTACTGGCTGAAATATCCATTATATTTACATAGATATTCATCTTTCAACTGCTCTACTTCAAGCGAGTAATATCACATTAAACTCTTAAATTTTCGATTACACAGATTTGAACACATCACAACATTTTGTGCACAAAATAATATAATATATTGCAAATATAATTGTATAAATTTTCAACGAGTCCAAAGCACCAAAAAAGAAAACTGCATCTATTCAAAAATATAATATCTCAATAATTTATCATTTCGGCATATCACACTATGGGAAATTATATACACGAGACGTTAACTTACACAGAAAACTTTAGAGACACGATTTAGTTTTATTTTTTTGTAAATTGATCGTAATACAGTAAATACACATTAACTATTAACAACTTACTATTATAATAAACAATATTTTATCTTACAAGGTACCGCGGGATAGTAATCAGCACATCTCAAACTTTTTGCAGCTTCGAAAGTGAGCTAGGTAATATGACACTAAATCAATTTGTAACATATTCATAAGAGTCTTAACTCTGATATGCAAAAACAAATAATATTGCGAATGCATATCAAAATCATTAATAAAACTTGTCATAACACAAATACTGCTAAAGTACGAATAACGTTACACATGATTACATTTCGATGACGCCAACTAATACATCAGCAGCGCCTACTAGTTGCAAAAGGGACTCTTAGCTGGTAAATATTGTCTTACAGTCCCATAAAACTACAAACAAAAGCCCTAATATGTATGACCAATACCCCAAAGGCAGTGACGTAGCGTGCCTGAATCAAAATTGACATTTATTTTTCTTAGGGCTGATTTTTCAATCGTCGGATAACTTTTATCTGAAGAATAAAGTTGTCATTTTGACATACTTTCCATACTGAAGCTGTCAATGTACCAAACTTATTCTTCAGTTAAAAGTTATCCAACGATTGAAAAATCGGCCCTTACACACGTATCATTGATACAGCTGCCAAGTTGGTAGTGGGACAACTTACAGAAAAATTACAGCAGCTACGCTCCTGCCAAAAGGGCAATAGTTTTGGGGCTAAACCTTGGCCTGCCCCAAGGGTTGATAGTGGGGCCACTTGACAAGTTTGGCCTGCCCCAAGGGTTGATAGTGGGGCCACTTGACAAGTGTGGCCTGCCCCAAGGGTTGATAGTGGGGCCACTTGACAAGTTTGGCCTGCCCCAAGGATTGATAGTGGGGCCACTTGACAAGTTTGGCCTGCCCCAAGGGTTGATGGTGGGGCCACTTGACAAGTTAGGAATACCCCAAGGGTCTACTTGTCAACTGGGGCTACTTGACAAGTTTGGCATGCCCCAAGGGTTGATACTGGGGATACTTGACAAGTTGGGCCTGCCCCAAGGGTTGATAGTGGGGCCACTTGACAAGTTAGGCATACCCCAAGGGTCGATGGTGGGGCTCGCCAAAAGTTTGAGAAGGCATGGGCCGCGTGGTGGTTTAGTGGCGCGAGTCTCGGGGATAGAACTCGGCGAGGATGGAAGCAGGGATACGCTTGAGCATCTCCTTGGGGAAGATACGGAGCAGTTGCCAGCCGATGTCGAGCGATTCGAAAACTGTGCGGTTCTCGTAGTTACCCTGGAAAGAAAGTGCAATGAATAATCATGCTTATTGCCCCGGAATATAGTTTACTTTGGAATTAATGTGTCAATTTTTGTTATTGTTGTGACTGGGGTAGCTTTTGTACTGTTAAAATGGGACCAAATTGCTGGAGAATCGACAAGTTGTACAATTAGATTTGTGACCTATCTCAATTAATACTTATAATTCAATGAATTTGTAGGGAATGTAGTTAGCCAAATTAATTCATTACTATAAAAAAGAAAACATTTTTGTATCGATTCACGAAAAATCCCGAGTGTAAAAGCCCGGTTTCTGTAATAACATTTTTGAGAGCTTGAGCACGCTCGCTCATACTCTACTTATGCACGAATTATTCATAATTGTTGTGTTTGGTCAGTTAGAGGTAAGATAGCCAGTTCCTCTGTGCCCGCTTCCACCTTCGGCCTTATCACTTATCATCAGGTGAGATAAAGGCCAAGAGCTTCCTCGTTGTTAATAAAAAGAATTGAGAAGAAGATGAGCATGCTCAAATATCTCAATTCAGACATCGTGCAACGTCTGAATATGAAACGAGAATCCTAAAAAACCTGCTTATCATGCATTTGTTCCAAAACAGCACCTACCACCAACAGCATAATTAAAATCCACGTACCTGCGTGATGAAGTTCTTCTCGAACTTGGTGAGGAACTCCAGGTACAGCAGGTCGTCGGGCGTCAGGGCTTCTTCGCCCACGACGGCCTTCATGGCCTGCACGTCCTTACCGATAGCGTAGCACGCGTACTGAGGATAGAGAGTGGATTAGAATCGGTCCAGCCACTTGGAAAATGGTGACAGACAGATGACAGATGGGTGCTATGGTATCTAAAACTAGTACTAAACAAAAGACAGACCTCTACACTAGTCATTGCCTGTCCTGTGGAGAAAGCAACGATTTACAGGTAGTATTAGTACGGCTAAACAGAAGTTCTACCTTCTTTTCTTATGTATTTTTTGTGTCAAATATTTTTTATATTCTATTATGATGATAATCGAATTCAAGGTATAATTGATTAAGCCTGCAAATTGTTTTGATTCGTCAAGCGGTTTTTACCGACCTTTTTTTATATTTGTCAAATATGAATTATTATTTTTCATCAAAGCATGTAAATTAGACCTATTAACCCTTCGCTAAATATGCTTGGGTTACGAGTAGGCCTGAGTTCGAACCAGGACTGCCCTTGAATCTCGAGTCAGCCAGTCCAACATCTTCGCCATTCGGCTATTGTCGCTTCAATCACTATTGGCAGAAATAAACCTCGCAGAGGTTTGGTTGCCAAACAATAAAATAAAATACATAGCACGGATTAGAAAGCTGAAGTGGCAATGGTCAGGGCGCATAGTACGCAAAACTGACGGTCGATGGGGCAACAAGGTTCAAGGCAAAGACGACCTCATAAAGGTATCATGAAGGTGTTGGATGCAGGCCGCTAACAACCGGGCAATATGGAAATAGGGATGTTTCCTGGGTAAAAAAGCAAGAGTTTTAATTAGTCCGTCAGTTAGCCTATCAAAAACTACTCGACACGTATTTTTCACTTTTTAAAACTAATGAAAATGTAAAGAGATAAAGCGTGCCAAAGTTTATTTATTTATTTATTGATAAAGGTACACCAACAGCAATACACACAAAGTTCTAAAGAAAAGGCCCGTGACGTCAGTGAGTGCGTAAAAGTGCAGCACTTTGTGACGGCGCGCGTAACTTCAACGCACTATAACTTTGTAATTATTTGTTTGATTGTCAATTCAAAATATACGTGTCCAATATTTTTTTATATTGAAATTGACGGACTAAAAAAATTTTTTAGGAAACTAGCCTATGTTCAGCTGTGGACGTCCTATGGCTGAAATGATGAAAATACAATAAAAAGTTGGCTTACCAGCTGGTTGGAGACGTCGGAGTGGTCCTTGCGGGTCATGCCTTCTCCGATGGCGGACTTCATGAGACGCGAGAGCGACGGCAGCACATTGACTGGTGGGTAGATCTGACGGTTATGCAGCTGACGGTCCACGTAGATCTGAGGGAAGAAGTTTTCGTTAGGATAATTTATAACAGGGATGTTATGGATAACCGTAACCGAAACATTCGGATATCCGAAATAAAAAAATCCGTAACCGAAACCGGTACTATAATATTATACCTATATCCGTAACCGTATCCATAACCGAAAATACATAATAATATCCATAACATCCTTACTTTACATATAATACGAATTAAAAAACTATTTGTTGAAATGCTCGCATCACTGAGTAATAGAGACATAAGTAAAACTTTTTAACATATTTGGATAACATATTATTTACTCTCTACCGCTCCACATTAGTCAAGATTTCTAAGCGTAACAATGATGCTCTTCTAAGGGCCCTCGTCCACGGCGACTTTTTGTCGCACACAGCATCGCTACTAACGCGCGTTAGTCGCATTTGCAACGCACTACAGAAGTGATGCCAACGCGGTACTAACGCGGCGCGACTACTACAGCAGCGCGACTGCATCGCTACAAAAAGTCGCCGTGGGCGAAGGCCCTAACACACAGTAAACAAAACACGTGACCAACTTGTTTATCTCTGACTCTTAGCACTCATATTAGCTTCAAATTTAAATTGATCACATCTAGTTCGTAACTTACGAACCACAAAGATAGAACAGTGGAAGTCCCTCACTTTGGCGCTTTTTACATTCAACAGTACAGCGACTAACTGATAACATACTGTTCCTTTTTATCAATTTAGGCCTCAACTTATAGTTCACCTTGCTTGACGAAAAAGGCTTGAGAAGATCTGTTCACGTTTCTTGCGATTTTACTCTAGTTTAATAACTCACAGCACGGCCGATTTTTCCACTTAGCGAACAAACACAATGACTCACCTGTCCCTCAGTGATGTACCCGGTCAAATCGGGAATAGGGTGGGTAATATCGTCGTTAGGCATGGTCAGGATGGGGATCTGAGTGATGGAGCCGTTACGGCCCTCCACACGCCCGGCGCGCTCGTAGATTGTGGCCAAATCCGTGTACATGTAACCTGGAAGGAGACATCATCATTACAAATCGTATGCCCATTTTCACCATCAATCCCTAATTTTTAAGTGACCCCTATGTTACACATAACAGGAATTTTGTTTTCATAGGGGTCACTTATTGATTGATTGATTGTGAAAACGGGCATTGGGCATTTGAAAACCAAAACAATTTTAGGAAACACTTTTAAAATGTTGTCCAAATCTTTCTTGGCAATGACTTTAGTTTCAATATTTACTTTAAACTTTTGTAGCTTTTACCAATCGAAAGTATCGCGTAAAATTATATTTCTTCTACCAATTCTTCTAAGTAACAATATGTTTTTTGATTTGCCTTCGTAAGTTACTATTACTGAACAATATCATAAAAAGTATGTCAATAGATTGCTCAATTATTTAACCTTCACTATGACAAGACGCGAAAGTTGGTGATGATTAGATTTTTGTTGCTTTTCGAAACAAAATCACTGGATGGATTTTAAGAAAACTACAATGTTGCAGTTCAAAATAGCACACAGACTCATTTGTTAGTTCAAGTTACTTTTTTCATCCACATCTATGTGGATAAACACTACGTCAAGTATAATCTGAATGTATGCTCTAGTGTGGCACCTTAATTTCAAACTCCTATGTTCTTCTGCTTAATTTCGTTGCGGATCCAATGACAGTTGAACTTTCTCCCGGGACAAACTTGACCTTCACTGGTTCACACTTCACTTCACGGGTTTTTGTGGCGGTCAAGCTGTAGATCCCGGCTACACAGGAGTTGCAGTGGTGGGAACGAGAGGTGGGAATAGTCCCGTTTATTATATTATAATAATATGTTCAACGTGTGTACATGCATTTTCTAAGCGGCTGGACCGATTCTAATTTCTAACAAACTTGACCTTGCTTGGGTTTTTACGGCGGTCAAGCTGTAGATCCTGGCTACCCAGGAGTTGCAGCGGTGGGAATAGTCCCGTATTCAGTGGGAACAAACCTGGGAAACCACGTCGCCCGGGCACCTCCTCGCGAGCGGCCGACACCTCACGCAATGCCTCGGCGTACGACGACATGTCCGTCAAGATTACCAGCACGTGTTTCTGTGGACATACAAACACATTTTATTGTAATACTATGCTACCATGGATAACTCAGTTTGCATGTGTTATTATGTTGTTTAAATGTGGTGGTATGGAGCACAACTTTTTACATTTTTAATAGAAAGAAAAATAAGTTGGAAATAGCACACGTGACATTAACGGAACAGTTTGCCCTCAGTGGCGATAGAACACAAGTTCATCAACAAAAAGGTGTTTAAGTATAAAAAGTAGCGCTATTTTAGGTGAACTCAAATTGGACTTTGCAAGAAGAATCTAATTAGAACTGATATGGCGTCATATCACATCAATGGTACTTTAGGCCCGATTTCCACCAAGGCAGAGCGGAGAAGTGAATTGAATAACCAATCAGATTTCATTATTTCCACTTCTCGTCTACGCTCCGCGCCGCGCCACCGCGCCGCTGTCAAATTCTATAGAAAATTTCGTCCACCTGAAATTCTCTGCTTCGATGGAAACCGGGTCACCTTTCTTCTTTTTATTTGAAACTGTCCTCTCCCCCCGCGCTTTAAAGTATATATTTCTAAGGCAGATGGAAATTCACGCTGGCGAAAACGCAACCTAAAGCTAAATAAATATGTTAAAAACTCACCTCGCACTGGTAAGCCAAGAACTCGGCAGCGGTCAGAGCCAGACGGGGCGTGATGATTCTCTCAATAGTGGGATCGTTGGCCAAGTTCAAGAACAGACACACGTTCTCCATAGAGCCGTTCTCTTCGAAGTCCTGCTTGAAGAACCGGGCGGTTTCCATGTTGACACCCATAGCGGCAAACACGATGGCGAAGTTGTCCTCGTGGTCGTCTAGCACTGATTTGCCGGGGACCTGGTGAAATATGAAATTTATGAGTTTTAAGGCGTAAGCCATAGGGTTTATATTATCAAAGCCAGTTTGAAGTTGTCCTCATAGTTGCCTAGCACTGATTTGTCGGAGACCTAGTGGTAATGGTATGGAATTATGAGTCTTATGGCGTTAACAACAAAGTCAATATGGATGTTTCCTGGGTAAAAAAGCGCGATTTAGCTTATCAAAAACTACTCAACACCTATTTTTCACTTTTTAAAACTAATGAAAATGTAAAGAGATAACGTACCAAAGTTCTAAAGAAAAGGCCCGTGACGTCAGTGAGTGCGTAAAATTGCAGCACTTTGTGACGTCGCGCGGAACTTCAACGCACTATAACTTTGTAATTATTTGTTTGATTGACAATTAAAAATATACGTGTGCAAATACTAAAATTGACAAACTAAAAAAATTTTTTTAGGAAACTAGCCTATTACACTGGTCAACAAAAAAAATTTTTTTTTTTGCGCATGTATTTTACTTATTATATTCTGATTATATAAGCAAATTTATATAAAAAAGTGCGATTACAAATCGAAAATATTTGCTTTTTAAAGAGTTATAGCGATTTGAATTTTCCATCTTCATAGTAAAATGTCTCTAAAGATGCACGTCACATTCTCATTGGGATATATTTATAGATAATTATGGGGGCTTATTCGCAAGAACAAGGGGCACGCTTTCATCAAAATATAGTGGGATTTGAGAGACGACGTTACCAAGGCCAGTAAACTGAAAGCATGATAGGGTTAGATTTTTATGAGAAAAATCTTGGAACATGACATTAAATTAGAACTTTTCATTTTTAATAAATATTTGGACTCTATTTTAAATTTTCTCTTGTGAGAATGAATCTTAAATGGATGCTTGGTATGTTTTAATAATTAGAAAGAATTAAAGAAAGATAGAAAAAAAATATTTGGCAACAAATTAAATCATCTCTATGTTCATGTTTCATACATTCCTTGATATGATTTTTTCTATTTTTTACACATAAAAGCAAATTCAGAACAATTTTTTGTTGTTATTCTTATTTCTAGGTATTAAAGCAATAAAAATAAGCTATGCATAACCCGTGCGCAAAAATGCTGTAGACAGTTGTTATTTATGCATCAGTATATAACATGTTTGTAACTTTAATGCTTCGAATGTGGTTTTTAAAAAGACTGGTTTTCAGAAATGTCCCAACAATGTTGTAGTACTTGAAGGCTCTTCAATGTCTCTAAATGTTAGTCCTTGAAGACTTCCTTTTTTTTAACTACGCGTATTTTATACGGAAAACGGTGCATACGTGAATTTTTCGCAATCTGAAGTCCGAAAGCATACGATGAACCATTCGAAAGCAATTAGAGATGCATATTCTTCACTTTTGTTCGATGGCGCAGTTACACTATGCGCGAAATTGATAAGTGTAAACACGCCCGAGTTCGTTTCCCGTTGCCTATACTTCCGTGCGCGTGTTCGTCATGAGGATTCTATAGCTAGGCCCTAGTCAGTATTTCGTTGAAGTATGTGACCGACATACCTCGCAGAATTGCTAAAATCAAGTGGCAGTGGGCGGGGCACATAGCTCGTAGAGACAATGGCCGTTGGGACAGGAAAGTTCTCGAGTGGCGACCACGGGCTGGAAGACGTAGCGTGGGCAGGCCTCCTACTAGATGGACCGACGATCTGGTGAAGGTCGCGGGAAGAGTCTGGATGCGGGCAGCGCAGGACCGTTCATTGTGGAAAACCATTGTGTGCCTTTGTCCAGCAGTGGACGTCATTTGGCTGAAACGAACGAACGAACGATGAAACTTACCTTGACAAGACCGGCCTGTCTACAGATTTGGGCGGCGATTTCGTTGTGCGGCAGACCGGCGGCGGAGAAGATGGGAATCTTCTGCCCACGGGCGATGGAGTTCATCACGTCGATAGCAGAGATACCTGGACAGAAGTTAGAATGAAAGAAAGAAAGAAAAATATACTTACGAGCAAAAGTATGGAATCACCATCTTGTGTTTTGTTCCCAACGATCTGAAGAACTGAATGACTATTTATGTATCTATGGTATCAAGTTAAAGTTTGTAATGTAGCTTTTAAACTGGTACCATTTTTAATTTAATCTTCATAGTCGTTTAGCTACAAAGATTACTCAAAACGAATGGGGTGATTCCATACTTTTGCTCGCGAGTGTAGTTTATTTGGTTACAATTTAAATAATATACATAATTTATTGAACCAAAATGGCTCCTACTCAGCTTGTACAAGGATAAGTTTCCTCCAAAGCGGAGAGGAGACGAGAGGAGAATAAGGCCCGGTTTCTTCCTAAGCAAAGGTGAGATGTATATTGTATAATCAGAAGGCCTAGTATGCGCGAAACGATGAACTTTTATCGAGGCATTTTATTGATTTTACACTATAAGCCCATTTGTCGTCTAAAGTCATCGAAAAGATTTTGTTTTCCACGGTGCGCATTGATACCAGTTGGTCTAGGAATTTAAGAAATAAATTTTATAAAATCCGATTTGTATTAAAATTAAAATAATTAAAATGAAGATATAAATTTTCTGACTTCACCATACCATTTATATGTCCATGTTAACATGGGCTAGTGTCGGCTCATATACCCATTTACCTAACACCCTGTACTTTATCGACGGCAAAATGTATGGGTAAAATCGATAAAATGGCGTGATAACCGCTTATATCGGCGCGCATCATAGACCTACTGGCAGATTTTTTTATTTCCACATAAACTCTCCTCTCGGCTTTGGTAGAAATAACCTACCAACTTAGCAGCACATCTCTCGTCTCTTGTAGCAACCTGGATTTACTACAGTATAGAATATTTAAGCCTGCCTGATAGTGTGTCGGAATCAAAATTAATCTATGCTGTACTCCGACATTAGCGTATTTTTTTTTTTACAATTGGATTTGACTATAACACCAATCTTATTGATCGCGTTTTTAGTGTGTATTTATTTATTGGGTTAATATAATAAATTCAGGACCAATACCCGCGGGATATTATGTAAGAAAGTAAGGTTATCCTCAAGAAGTTCAAAGTTAGAGCGCTTTCACATTTTGGCGATTTAGCAGCGCGACAAACGCGCGACGGACGCGCTACCAAAAATTTCATACTATGTGACAGCGGATGCATGCCTTCACATTATAAAAACGCCGCTGCGGCGCTGCAGTCGCGCTACTAACGCTCTTAAGGTTACTACTTCGAAAGTTCCTAAAAATATTTTCGATACATACCAGTCTGGATCATCTCCTCTGGGTAGATACGGGACCAGGGGTTGATGGGCTGACCCTGAATGTCTAGGTAGTCCTCAGCCAGGATCGGGGGGCCTTTGTCGATGGGCTTGCCGGAGCCGTTGAATACACGACCTAAACACGTAGATAATAAGAGTTAAAATGCTGGATGCAGGCAGCTATCAACCGAGCGATATGGAAATCATTGGGGGAGGCCTATGTTCAGCAGTGGACGTCCTGTGGCTGAAATGATGGTGATGATGAAGAATTAAAATGTAACTGGACTGGAATAGAACATTACTTGAAACTTGTAAAAACCGTATGGCGTGTTTTCATTAGATAGTGCTGCTGCAAGCTAAGACTTTCATAAATCTTCCACCATCCCCAAAGTAAGCACTTGGGCAAAAAGGGATAGACCAGTATTGTTGTACTATCGACAGGACATCAATTTTATCAATCGATAATTTAAATGGGGAAAAATTCAAACTGTTTATTGCATGTCACATTACAGTTTGAAAATTACAAAATAGCCAATTAATCGATACTTTTGTTTACCAAGGCATTTCGATCGATCGATTTATAATCGATTTTATTTTTGCAAAATAATCGATTTAATCGCTACTATTAATAATAATATGCATTTGATAAATCGCTTGTTCGGCAGCCCGATGATGATAATGACGCTTATTCTGAAGAAGATCCAGTGCGGCGAAATCTGTTCCGTAAATAAGAAAACCCTTGTAAAATAAGAAAATAGTGACAAGAAACCTTGTAAAAACTAAAAAATCACATACCCAACATGTCCTCGGACACAGGTGTGCGCAGGATGTCTCCGGTGAACTCGCAGAGTGTGTTCTTGGCGTCGATGCCCGACGTGCCCTCGAACACCTGGACCACGGCCTTGGAGCCGCTGACTTCCAGCACCTGTCACGGATAAGTGTTGAGACTTAACACTAGAGTACACGCGCGGACTACTATAGTAGACCAGGGTAACACTTTTCGCTATAACTTTTTGAAAACCTGCGCCAGAGAGCTGGCATTCCAGGAAAGCCTCTTTGACTAAATTGTCAATAAGCCAGTATAACTTGGGTCACTAGGCGTCTACGCACTTTTCTAAAACTGGCCGTCAAAACTGCGGGTCTACTCAAAAGCCCGAAATCAATCACGAAAAAAATTATGGAAGACTTGCAAAAAATGGATTTACCCCATGTACCAGGCAGTAGAAAGTCTTTTCTTTTTGCTAACATGGATCTCAGAGTGCAATTTTGGTCCAAAAAATTTACAACTTTTTAATCTGTTTATAATGTTTTATCCCAAATAGTTATACAAAGAAACTTTCATTACAAAAGAACTGTAATGAACACTTTTATCATTTACATTATAATTATAATTCATAAATTGTTTACAAACTGATTTACAGTGATTTTAAATTGGCTTACTTAGAGTAGGCCGCGCGTGTATTGGTGTAAAAAAAGGGGCGCGTGTACTGCAGTGTTAATGCTACTTGGCTCAGGCGTAGCTTCATAAACGCGTATTCCTCATTTCACACTTGCTTGCAGCTTACATACAAGGTGAAAAAGATCAGCCCCTAGAGCTAGACTATAAGCAAATCTGTTCTGCGATGCTGTCATGCAGAGTGGATTCCCATTAAAAGCATCAACTCATCTGTTCTGAATATGTTAAGTAACATGATATTGAAAAACTGGTTACTGATCCTAAAAGTGCTTCATCTCTATCGAACGGTATAAATAAATAGGTCCCTATTTCAGAAACCAGGATAAAAACTATCCTATATCCTTTCCCAGGACTCAAACATCCTCTATATCAAATTTCATCAAAATTGGTACAGTGGTTTAGGCATGAAAGCATGACAGACAGAGTTACTTTCACGTTTATAATATTAGTAGGGATTAGAGTTGTAACTAACCTGACCCGATCGGAGGGTTCCATCGGCAAGCCTCAGCTGGACGATCTCTGAGAACTTGGGGAACTTCACCTCGTCGAGGATGACCAGCGGCCCGTTCACACCCGACACCGTCTTGTAAGCTGATTATGAAAAAACAGTTTCGTTAAACCTTCGAATTTTGGAAAATAAGAAAGATGAATAGAATAAAACAATCTTCTTTGTATTTGTATAATAAAGAAGGAATTGGAGAATTTAATATTATAGAAACCATTTTTGTATTAAATACATACATCTGTGGCCAGTGCCTCTGTATACATTACAAGTCTATGGTTATTAGTTTTTTTTTATTAACATGAAAATTAAATAATTAGTATTTTTTTCAATTTTACTATGAAACATTAATTTGTAGTTATTTCACTAGCAATGAGAATTCACTAGTTGCTTTTTCTATCCAAAATTAAAGCTTTGATCATTAATTAATTGTCAATTTATTTGCAGTTTACAATTTCTCACATGACAACTATTGCAAAGAAGACAAAGAAAAAATTATTATTTAAAAAGAAGCATCAAAATGGGCAACTAAAATTATATCTATTATTTGATTTTAAAACCAAAGGAAACAACACAATTAGTCTCAATTACCACAGAATATCTTGTTAGATAATAAAATATTATTGATAGACAAATGTTCATAAACAAAGATGAAGCATAGTCAAATTATATAATTTAATATTATAATGATACAAAATTACAACTTAGAATTTTTGTCACATGACAACATGAAAACAGCTGATTTGTGACATCACAGTTAAACAATCAAATGATTGAAATGGCTTATCTTTTACAAAGATTAACTTTTCCCATTGGCTTATGTGACTGTGACATCATGGGAGGAATTTAGGCTCCATTGAATGAAAAAATATAACTTAGCATTATGATGATCTGTCTGTCTGTCTCTAAAAGGACATTATTATGTAATAATACTTGTATGAAGGATGAGCATTTATACCAATGTCCATGTATAAAAGAAACCTATTTAAATTAATGGGAGTATCATGGAAAAATTCGGAACATGAACGCAATACGGCTAGGCCATTATCACATAGGTGCACACCTATCTATAGTTCATAGAGCTAAACCTTGTAGAAATTAGTTCAAACGGTAAAAATAGGGACAAATTAGGCGTAATTGAAATTTTATTACTGGAGAATCTACAGGAGTGCCTCAAGAATGGAAATATCTCAATATTATGGGGTGAATTAGTTTTGATATCTAGTTTTTTTGGAACATCGGTAGATAGGACGTGAACGATTATCGAATGGGACCATCATGAATCCAACTGATACTCATGAAATAGCAAATTTGTATGCTTGAGAATCAGAAATTTATGCAAGCGGAAAGAAAAACAAACAGGAGTAAGGAGTAACATGAAAACCGCAGCAAAATCGATACTCATTGACAAGCGTATGACGTTACATCTCGTAGAACAATAATTTCAGGCTGTACTTACTCAGACGGGGCTGGGATATGAAGTCCCTAGACACTGCAAGGACATGCTCCTTGTTAGCCTGTGTAGCTGAGAGGGTTTTTGCCATTTTACAGTTTTCACTTTTTGGCAGCCCGTTCAATAAAATACCAAACTGCGCTGCCCTCCTCGCCCGAAAACTGACGAATGGATGTATTGTCTATGCTCCTTCACGTGCCGTCACGTGACCTATCACAAGGCAAATGTTGCCAATTTCTAATAAATTTCCTTAGATATTGAAGAAAAATGTTTATGAATTGATTTTGAATGTTATTCATTCTAAAAATTTCAAAGAATGATAGTTTCACATCCTAATTCCTAAATAATATTCACATCCTAATATAATACAAGAAGGCTATTGACATTCGCATTCTGATATAGCCGCAGAATCGCTAAAATCAAGTAGTAGTGGGCGGGTGGGGCCGGGGCACATAGCGCTCGCAGAGCTAATGGCCGCTGGGGCAGAAAAGTTCTCGAGTAGTTTACTTCTAACAATAAGGTATAGCTGAGGCAGATGCACTCTGCCTAGGCTACAAGACATTGCTAGGAAGATCATTTCGATGTACACGCAATACCTACCTGTTATTTAGTTTTTCTGAGTTAAACTTACGTACCTACATATCTATTCGCCGTTCCCATGGGCGGGCCAGCTGCTGCAGGAAAGGACAGCTGCTCCTTCCTGGAAATCTATTTAATCTTAGCCTAGAAGCTGGGTATGACTCCCCCGCCCCCCTCCTCTCCCCAGGTCATAAGCTGGGCATGACTTCCCCCTCGGCCAGAAGTTGGGTATGATTTACCCCCTTACCCCCCCATGCCAGAAACTGGGTATGACTTGAACTTAATATCTTCGTAAGTAATGGTCCGATTTGGATAATTCAAAAAGATATATCTTTCTTATGTCTTAAAGATTAACGTAGATACTAGTTTTATTGAATTTTCTACAACAGTACTGATCCTCATTGTGGAAATCCTTGGGGGAGGCCTATGTCCAGCAGTTGTTGTTATTTGGCTGAAACGAACTATTGACATTCGTATTCGTTAACCGCCTCTGTGGTCTAGTGGTAAGGCCACCTGCTTTAGACGCAGAGGTCCCGGATTCGATTCCCAGTGGGGGCAGATTTTTCCGTTTGGTTTTGTTGGTGGTAGGGCTTGTTCTAAGTCCGCCTGGCTAGCTACCACCATCTTACCTAAGTCTGTCGCCATAACATGTGTTCAGGCAGTTAAGAGATAAGATAGCCAGTTCCTCCGTGGTTGAGGATTCCGGGTGAAGCTCGCTTCCACCTTCGACCTGATCGTCACTTACCATCAGGTGATACAGGTCAAGAGCTTCCTCGTAAAGTAAAAAAATAAAGTAAAAAAAACTTGCATGAAGCTAAATATAGGAAAAAGAGGTGTATAATTAATTATACAATTGCTGCATTCAGCGAATAAACAAAGTTATAGCAATAAATAAAATAGGTATTGTAAATATAGCCTGACCAGGAACATAAAAACCCTGGCATAAAGGCGCGTCAATTGCATTTGATAGTGCAACACTGAGTACAGTCGTACATGTGTTAAATTAATAGGCTAAATTTATGTATCGGGATTCAGGATTACGGGCTAATTTGATATTTTCATAAATTAACGAATAAATATCAACTCAAAAGGTAACCTGGTTTAAATAAATTAAATGAAACCATCAATCGAGCTAGTAGGATTTATTTTATTATTCATCAATAATCAAATTCAGAACTTGAATATTCAACTGCAATGTCTGCTCATGAACGCTTCAAACTCGGTACTTCTTTCCCAATTCCATAAAATTCAAAACTTAGAAAGTGACAAAAAACTTTAAAATAGGTAGTTGAAACAGACTTCAGCTAATTTTCATAGTGGACTGTACTATACGATAAACATGTCAGTCAATTTGACAACCTTTGTCGGAAACATTATTCAATGAAAATATTGTCCGAACCCTTAGTATTTCTCTTCGACAAATACATTAACACATTGTGAACCACTTTTCTTTCACGACTATAAAAATATTTTAGCAATTTAATTCACAAAATCAATTGCACACATTTAAAATAAAGTTTGTTTACACTTTGACAACAATAGACTGACATGCAAGGTGACATGTCAATGAAGTTTTCAGTTATTGTTGCCATTAAAAGAAATTAGTACCATTAGTTTTCCACAACATGGCGAGGGTTTTTATGTTCCTGGTCAGGCTATACTGCACTATTGCAAATGCCCTGATCACGGAGTGCATGGATGCAACAGTACTGAAATATCAAAGGCTTGTAAATAACGTAAATGCAGCAATCCCGTTTAAAATATCATTCAAACCTTTATATAGATTAAAGAAATTCTGTTTTTAAATAAAAATAACCATTGAGCATTGAACAAGTTAAAGATTGGAAGGTTTGCATTGAATACTCCAAAATACCGATTTCAATGGAATTTTACATAAAGTAGCAACATTTTTAATCATTCATCCTTCCTTTGTTGCCAGGCTTGTCAAATTGATTGTCTATGCCCTTAAAATAACGATATTCAATGTGATTATACCGATATTTTACTGTTACAAATAACGCTATTCCGTTATGGGTCAAAGAAATGTCACATCGACAGTAACTGTCAAAAGACAATTATAGTGATGTCCATAAAATAACTCATTACTTACTGAAAGTACTAGCAAGTACTACAATGTGGAATAGCAAGCTATTTCAGTACTAATATTTTTTTATTACCAGATGGTGAACAAGAAAACTCTATAGTATCATAAAATAAATTATGATTCAATACTCAGGGAATCAATAAATAAATAAAATAATAATCACAGTTTTGGGGAATAGTCAAAATGTTTAATAAAGTATGCCACAAACTCTTATAGTCCAGAAATCCAGATAAAGAATTACCTTAAAAAAAGGAAAATTGAAAATAAATAAAACAAAAGTGCACGAACTATACCTACCTAGCTCGCACCTATTGTATACTTTGTTTTGTAAATGTATATTTTTCTCTCATGAGGCTGACAAAGGTGACTGAAACTGAAACTGACTCAACATAAAAATAGAATTTGAATAATAAGTCATGCATGATCGAAATAAAGTTCGAGTTTAAATGAGCGTCATGCCGTCGTCCATAATTAATTAATCTTTACCGGAAACAGTTTCTAGGTAAAATATTTTATGCTAAGCTAGGATAGGCGCAATGGTAAGAGCGATAGGTATGTAAATAACCTTATCGTCTAAAATCGAAAAAATGCTTAAATTATGTTGTTATATAATATTTAAAACTATCATGTTGCATTTTCACTATAAAATTATCACTTCACGGGATTTATTGCAACAATAATTCTATATTTTAACGGTAAATAAGATATTTACCCTCCCGACGTTTCGGCTCGGTTGCAGTTTGCACGAGTCATGGTCGCGGGCAGACTGAAGAGAAGCGGCGTCGTCTGCTCCGGCGCGATGAGTTTTCTTCACCCACCCGCATTTGCACAATATTTTCGTCAGTGGTACAGTCAGCCCGACAAACTACACTAACAGTGTCCGGGTTTCTCTGAGACGGCCTAGAAGAACGCGATTTGCGATGTGGAATCCGGTGATAACGAAGACCATGACTCGTGCAACCGAGCCAAAACGTCGGGAGGGTAAATATCTTATTTACCGTTAAAATAGATATTGTTGCAATAAATCCCGTGAAGTGATAATTTTATGTTGTTATAATTTGGCACGTAGACTTTGCCCTGCAAAATTAATCTTTCTATTTTTAAAACTCAAAAATAAATTGTTTATTTATTTATTTATTTATTAATGCAAAACACTTGTAAGCTTACAGAGCAGGTCCAAAGCGCTTACAAGCTTAAAAATAAAATAAACATATCATACACTTGTTACTGGACTAAAAAAGCGGAATCAAAATACAGTGGTATTATTTTGATTCCACTTCGCCTTAATTTGTCATAAGTATTTAAATGTGTATCTTTCATGAAAGTTTTTTGTTTTTCCTAATACATACTAAAAATAGCTTCGGTTGTAATACTTGTAATCAATGATGATATTTATAAATCACTATTATAAAAAATCACACAACAAGCCGATACTCACTCAATACTATTGAAAAATCATTAGGGAGCATAGCTTGGTTAGTAGCATCACTAGTTCGGTTTCGAAGCCGGCGCGAAGTGGGCGGGTTGTTTATCGTATTTTTATTCCTAAAAATCTTAGATTAAAAATAAAACAAATCAAATATTCCAAATCACTATCGCGCCCGGTTTTATGGACTAACTGGGTGTGTTCGATAAGTGGTCGTATTTTGTAATTTGTTCGGAATTCGGTTTTGCCGACAATCGTTACCAAAATGTCTGTGATGGGCAAAGTCGTCCCTCATGTTTCTAGCCGTAATTTTAGTAGAATAAGTGCCGCGCTGTGCTCTGCGAAAGCGAATAGAACGTACTTTACGTACACCCAGGAGTTGTCGCAGCCCCTCGACAGGAAGCCTGAGTTCGTGACTGCTAAGGAAGCCTTTGAGAAATGTTTGAAATCTGGTGAGTACCTACCTTGCAACACGTCACGTAGGTAATATTTACAATTACATTTCTTGCCTACGCTCAATAAACTGTAACATACCAAATTCCATGGCCTTTAGTACACGTTTCAAATCATAGCCTGTGTTTAGTCTTCCTATTTTATTCGTAACTGTAATCTCATTTGCATAAATAATTTAAGTGTAAACTAGTTTTAAATTTGAGTATTCACATTACGTATTCACGAGGTAGTGTTTGAAATGCGCCACTGTAAAATTGATAGGATGCTACGGGCTATTATAAATGATTACATTGGCAATCATAGTCATTATATGCACATGGCCCTAATTCTGTACACAATAGGGTTCAGAATGTGAACCACACATGTTCTTTGTTGGACATAAAGGTACAATATCCGTACCGCGCGGGAATAACTTGACATGTCATTTTTGCGTACTTTTCAGGGGAGCGATTTTAAAGTTTAGAGTTCTCTGGTAAATCGGAATTAATGATAATTGATATTTTTATGATTGAAATAAGCTAATTTCATGCGTATCTTTCGATTGGCGTAAGAATTTGATTAAATTATCTTCTTAATCTATTAAAAAAAAGACTTGTCAAGTTGTGTACCGACGACTTGTCA